CTTCTACTGCTGACCCGTCGCTGTTTCTGCGCACCGACACCTCGCTGCCGCCGTTCTACATCCTCGTGTACGTCGACGACTTGGTCTTTGCCACTGCGGACACTGCCGCACTCGCCCACGTGAAGTCCGAGCTGCAGAAGAGACACACGTGCACAGACCTGGGTGAACTGACAAGCTATCTTGGCTTGCGGATCACCCGGGACAGAGCACGCCGCACCATTACCCTGACTCAGTCACACATGGTGCAGCAGGTCCTTCAGCGCTTCGGCTTCACGTACTCCTCGCCTCAGTCCACTCCTCTGCCTACGGGACACTCGCTCTCAGCTCTGCCTTCGGATGAGTCCGTAGAGTCGAGTGGTCTGTATCCAGAGCTTGTGGGCTGCCTCATGTACCTGATGACTTGCACTCGACCTGACCTCGCATACCCTCTCAGCATCTTAGCACGCTATGTTGCTCCCGGCCGTCACCGGAAGGAGCACATGGATATCGCTAAGAGGGTGTTGCGCTACTTGTGCAGTACGTCGGGCATGGGGCTAGTGCTTGGAGGGCGTGAGCGGCCTGTGCTCACTGGGCACTCAGACGCTTCTTGGGCTGATGACCAGGCTACTCAGAGGTCGTCTCAGGGTTACACCTTCAGTCTTGGCTCTGGCTCTGTCTCTTGGCGCTCTACTCGCTCTTCTTCGGTTCTCAGCTCCAGCTGTGAGGCTGAGATCTACGCCACGGCCATGGCTGCCCAGGAGCTTCGCTGGCTCACCTACCTGCTGACTGACCTTGGAGAGCGGCCTCGTTCTCCTCCAGTGCTGTACGTCGACAACAAGGCAACCATTGCCTTGTGTGAGGAGCACAGACTGGAGCACAGGACGAAGCACATTGCTCTGCGCTACTTCGTTGCTCGAGAGCTGCAGCAGCGTGGTCAGCTTCGCCTGCGTTTCGTGGCCACTGAGGCCAACACTGCTGATGTGTTCACCAAGGCACTTCCGCCTCGTGACCATCAGCGCTTTTGCACTCTGCTAGGCCTTGTGCCCACTGGGCCTCACTTGCTTACCTCTTGACCTTGCTTGTACTGCTGCATATATATATATCCTTGCTCTTGCTTGTTTAGCACTGTTATATATATATGCTCTGCTGCATGTGAACTGGCCTTGTGGCCTTGACCTTGTGCTCGGAATTTGTGTGGTATCCTTGAGATCCACCCTGAGCTTGCTTTGCTTTGCTTTGCTTTGCTTGACTGGTCTTGTGACCCCTTGCTCTCCCCCACTTTGCCTTTGGGGGTGTGTCAGATGATTATATTGCTGATGCATATATTTAGGCTGTAGTGGGGTAGCCCATAGGGGGTACAACCCAATTAGGGTTGGTACATGTACTTGTTTCATTTCATAGTGCACTCATTCCTCGCCTCTATCTCAACAATATACACCTGCTCTTGTTTGCTTAGCCTCTTATATATATATATATATATATATATATGTGCTCGTGCATGTGAACTGGACCTTCTGGCCTTGAACTTGTGCTCGGAATGTGTGGTGACTTTGTGATCCACCCTGAGCTTTGCTTTGCTTTGCTTGACTGGTCTTGTGACCCCTTGTTCTCCCCCACTTTGCCTATGGGGGTGTGTCAAATTATAATGTTGTCTAGGCTTTAGTGGGGTAGCACATATGGGGTACACATTTCTAGGGTTGCATATTTGTATCAAATCATTCATAGTCATTCATTCTCGTTCTACTTTTCTCATCCTTCCTGTAAGTCGTCGGGGAAAATCCCGGGGTATCGTTTCAACAGTTCCTGTAATTCGGGCGGTACGGCTGCCAGCAGTCTCTTGAAATCACTCGGCTGCTCTGCTTCCTCTACTACTGCGATGTCTACTGCGTACACGTCAGCTCCTGTAGCGACAACCCGTTTCATTGTGATGGCGTTGACGTGTACCGTTGAAGACTCGGGCGACTGCCAGCGAGGTAGCTCGACCCAGTTACCATTACTTCGCACGGTGCAGCTACCCGTCGTCCACTCAATTCGCGGGTTATACCGTCGCAGCCAATCACGTCCCAGTAAAATATCGTGCCCATCCAGTGTCGTTGCGAGCATTTCCTGTGTAAACCCGAAATTTCCCCCGCAGCGGACTTTGACTCTCTCTACCTTTTCCCGTATGGCCAGTGGCGTGCCGTCGACTAAGCGTGCGTCTATCTCCGGTAAGCAACGGCTAAGTGTCAGCTGCAGTTTTCGTGCGGTTGCGGTATTAACTAAACTGTGGCTTTCTCCTCCGTCGATAAAAATCTTCACTGCTGCTCCCTGTATTTTCCCGTGGATCAGTACTGAGCAATCCGTCGCTGTACCCTCCTTATTCGTCCGAGTCCGATCGATAGCATTAATCGGTACTGTGACTCGGTGAGGGTCGGTGGGGTTAGGCGAGCAGGCAGTCTCGTCAGTAGTTGGCCCGGTTCCTACTGACTGCTGGCGTTTCCCTACCTTGGAGACTCCCTCCCCTGCTCTGCTCCGCGGCGCCTTAGCTCCTCTGGGCATTCGCTCTTGCAATGGCCCGGCCTGTTGCAAGCAAAGCAGCGCCCCTTAAATGGCGCGGCAGCTGCATTTGTCGCAACAGCGTGTACAGTGGCGTGCTCGATCGGTCCCCGAGGACGATGTCCATAGTAGGACCCCGGTCTCGGACGGCGTAAAATGTCGATTTTCTCGGTGAGCGCGAGAATCTCATTGAAGTTCGAGAGCCCGCGTAGCATGATTTCGTGCGAGATGTCCGGCTTCAGCCCTCCGACGTAACGGTCCACCCGCTCCGCTTCGTGCATGTAGCCGACTTGCTCGCATAATGCGAGAAAATCACTCGTATAGTCTTGAACCGATCCGAGCTGCCGCCAAGTGCTCAATCTCTGACGCGCCGAAATAGAAGCCGTGATCGGCTCGAAGCGCGCCCGAAGCCCTGCACACCACGCATCCCACGTGCTGTATTGGGCGGTCTCGCAGAATGAACTCCAGGTGAGAGCTGGACCCGTGGGCCCTTCCTCTTGCGACGGTGGCTCGTAGGCGCATGGCGACGTCACGATGACTCGCCAACAGTCCATGGTGGGGCCCCTTAGGAGCGAAACGGCATACCGAATCTTCGTTGCGTCCGACTCGACGTAATTCGCGTCGAAGAAGACGTTCATCGTGAAGACCCACGATTGAACCGTTGGACCTCCACGCTGGCTCGGGTCGAAGCAGGGCGGGCGTTGCGGCTTGAGTGGCATTAGTGCCATAATGGTCTGTTCGCCACTTGTCGCCGCGAACTCCACGTGCCGACGGGCTTCGCGAGGCTCCCGCGGGCTTGGTGCGACCCTGTTTCCTCCCATGCCAGGCATCGGCTGGGCGGCGCCATCGCTGGCTGCGCCTGAGCGCTGTCCCACGCTGTTGTTTTGTGTTGGTGTGCCGGACGAGATGACGATCGGCTCGTCTGAATGTGCAGATGCATTTGTCGGTGCGTGTCGTGGCGCTGGAGTGTTCATCGTTGATTGCTGACGCGCGGAGTCACGTTCCGCCATGAGCGTCGCAATTTCGAGCGCCGAATCTTCGAGTTGGCGCACCAGACGGTCGAGTTGCTCTTGCATCAATGTGGCGAGCGTGAATTCGGCCATCGGCGGGGGTGTCGGGCGAGCTCAGCGAGAGCCTCGGTCGTGGCCGTGCGTGCTTACGAGAGAGCACTACGAGCGGACGGTGCTGTGTCGCTGAGAGACGTCTACCCCCCCCAAAAATTAAGACAGTGGGGAAGCGAAGGTGTGGGTACGGTCCGAGAGGAGATCTTAGGCTCTGAATACCAAGTGTTACGAGTGCAATTGAGTGAACTAACGAGAATTGCACTATCGAAGCAAGAGTACAATGAGCGAAGGCATGAGCGAAGAATATATAGCGAAACTATACTGGTAACGGTAATGGACTGTAGGTTGTCGCGCGACGGGCCTGGGTGGGACTGAGGTTGGGAAAAAGTGTCGAAGCGGAGGCCCGGAGCGCGGGTTACCCGCTGAGCCGTGAGGTCGGGGTGCGATGTGCGAAGGTGGCGGGCGGATTGTCGATGCGAGGGTTGCGAGTGGTAACGGTGCTGACTGTGGTGCTATAGTGATGTACGCGTTGAGCAGGGATGCGAAGTAAGGAAAAGGATTTTTCCTTAGCAACAAGTCAAAGTTCTAGCAAGGTGATTGGGAAAACCAAGTGTGGACATGGTAGCTGATAAGTGCTCACTGATTCCTCGAATTCCGGAACCGTGGATCAGGTTCTGAGCCAAAGGAGTTCCTTCCCGCGTCCAAGGTAGGTCAGTGAAATTCCAGAAATTTCTCACCACGTAATCAAATGTTTCGTCAGGACCACAACCTTTTCCAGATGGATTTGCCCAACTCCAACCATTTTTTCCAAGTAAGGTTCTCGTCCCCTCAACCAGTAAATCTCCCTTCCACATCAGAAAAGATGTATCCTTGTTCCATCTAACAAACTTGAAAAGCGTCTTAAGTTAGAAAATAATCCTGGGCAGGGGCAGTCTTGATCCTTCTTCAGAAAAGACATCTGTGATTCGGAAAACCACAAATCTGGAGAAACCTTGGAGTTGTCCTTCAGAGAAACCTTGAATCGCTTTTCAAAGGGAAGACTCGAAGTTCTTCCACTTCTGTTGTCAGGAGAATCAGGAAGATAAGTCTCCTTTTTCTTGATCACGGATCAGGCCCCTTATTTTTGGGACAGGCTGTAGGGTGGTGTGACTGGCGGTAAATCCTGGAATGCCCGGCTTAGCTCTGGACAAAGCCATGGTTTCGAAATCAGCTAAGGATGAGGTTTCCGTTAAGTCCAAGTTCATGCGACGGCTAGCGGCGAGCGACGAGGCGACGAGGGACCAGGCTTTCGAGGTCTTGTCACGATGGCTTGTCGCTCGCAAGGAGATCGCCGAAGACGATCTTCTGAAAATCTGGAAGGGCTTGTTCTATTGCATGTGGCATTCGGACAAACCGCCAGTTCAGGCGAACCTCGCGGAAAGAATGTCCGGTATTCTAATCTCGCTCGACCCTGACCTCGCGCTGCTATTTCTGCGAACCTTCTGGAAGACGATGCGACGGGAATGGGGAGGAATCGACTACCATCGCCTGGATAAATTCTATATGCTCGTCCGCCTGGTCATGCGAAACATTCTCGAGTATCTGGAGAAACGGGAGTGGGAGGAAGAGGTGGTTTCGGATCTTGCTGCGTGCGTCATGCAACAGGGGCTTCTTGCTAAGGACAAGTATCGGGCTATCGGTCTCGAACTGCATTTACTGGATATTTTCAACGAGCTCTTTAAAAAGTCTGGAGGGGGTGACGTCAGAGTGGTGAAGGCTGTTCTGCAATTTTCGAAGCCAGTGGTGGGTGTGATTCAAACGAAGGAGGACGGACGATTGCACAAGCGGGCACTGAGTTCCGTGTTTTCGGGGCTGGCGGAATATCTACGCAACGAAGCGAAGGCAAACGCGAGCGAAGCTTCGTACGTCGCTGCGCTTCAAGAGGCGGCGGCCGAGATGTCCGCTGATATCAAAGCAGCGCACGGCACGGCGAAAGGGAAAAAGAAAAGCATGCTTCGGAAAGGACAGGCGATTTTCACGGCGCTGATAAACGAATTGTCTGGGAGTGATCCTGCTGAAGAAGGGGAAAATGGGGAAGAGGAAGATGGAGATGATATGCAGGGTTTAGAAGAAGACGGCGCTGCTGGCGGAAAGGACGACCCTGGTGATGGTGAGGGAGAAGAGATGGAAGAAGGGGAAGAGGAGGAGGGAGAAGCAGGGGGACAGGGTTCAGGGGAGGGTTCAGGGGACGAGGAGGATGGGGAAGAGGAGGACGGGGAAGAGGAGGACGGGGAAGCGGAGGGCGGGGAAGAGGAGGACGGAGAAGAGGAGGATGGGGAAGAGGAGGACGCGGAAGAGGAGGACGCGGAAGCGGAGGACGCGGAAGCGGAGGATGGGGAAGAGGAGGATGGGGAAGAGGAGGACGGGGAAGCTAATGCGGAGCAGCAGAATGGCGTGAAGGAGGAAGTTTGTGGTGGGGAGCATGATGACGAGAAAGCAGAAGCTGCTGAAGTGAAACTTAGTGAGCAATCAGGAAAGAAACAGCACGGGGAGAAGCAGCAGGACTCAACCGCCAAGCGCAAGAGGCAGCAGCAGCAGCAGCAGCAGCAGGAGCCACAGCAGGGCAGTGGTCCGGGCAAGAAACGCAAGGGAAAGAAGGATGCCGTGGCAAAGGGAGCAGAGAGTGCCGAGAGGAAGGAGCAGCAGACGGTGCAGGGACAAGCAGCCGTAGACTCGTCATCATCAGCAGCTGCAGACCCTATCCCCACTGCTGCAACAGCTACCCTACGATCAGTGCTGGTGCACCCGCATCTGTCAATAAACGCCAAGACATGAAGGACCGGGCGGCGGCGGAGCGGCAGACGAAGAGGAAGCAGACGGGTTCCGAACGCCAGAGAAGGACATCATAGACGCCTTCTCGCACTTTGATTTCCCCCAGGATCTTGCCACAGGTGCTGGGAGCGTGGGTGCTCGGATCATGGCTGCAGGCGAATCCGCCGCTGCTGCTGCCGCAGCAGGAAGCGAGGCAGGAGGTCCGGTGACCCGATCCAAGGACGGGAGAACAGACGCCGAAGCAGTCGGCGTGCAGTCAGCTCCGGCGGGCAAGGCCGGTGGCGCTGCAGGCAGGCGGAAGAAAAAGGTGAAATTCGTTCTAAGCCGCAATCTGGAGATGGCAAAGGGAGGTCCGGTGCCCCCTCCTGCTGTGCGCACACCACCTGCTTCCCGCCCCAAAGGCAGTGCACTCAAGCCCGGGACTAAGCCGGGGCCAATCAACATGCGCATGCTCATGGCTACTGCAGACACGAGCCCCTCGCAGATGACTGCCTCTGGGCGGAAGAAGGTGGATAAAGCTGCCCGCTCGCCTGCCAAGTCCCCTTCTGCTGTGTCGCTGCGCCTGGTTAATTTCCTGAAGTGAGTCGCTGCCAGTGTGGCATCAGGGAGCGAGGCAGCCTTGCTAGGATGCTGCTAGGATGCTGCACTGCTGCTTTGTTGCTGACTGAAGAGAGATTGGGTAATTGTTCCTAGTATCGGTCCTTGAGTATGGGTCTCTGGGTAGTCATGTCAGCCGCTCATTCAAACTATTTTAAACTCTACTTAAAGCCCGAGTACAGCATGGTAATTTTCAAGTTCAAGATTCTTGAACTTGAAGTCTCCAATAACAGGGTTACCCTACTTGTTTTGAGAAAATTCTCGCGACCCCAGGCAATCGTCCTGCGACAACGGAACCCAGAACTGACGTGATGATAGCCAACCATTTATACTATTCACCACTCACATAAGTAGTACTCATAGGCTAGGAGGCTCCAAGGCAAAAGCTAGCGCTAGTTGGCAAAAGCGAGTCGTTGATAAGTGTTCTTTTTTGTGCGGAAGGAAATATAAGTCCACCTCAACCATCTTACCGTAGTCAGTGCACGCTCTAATCTCTCCCTCACGTCACCGGTCTCGTGTTACAACCCGTACACCCACGGCACTTAAGTTAGTAAACGAGATTCGCGTTACTCGAGTCTTGCATTCAAGCTCGCGTCGCACACGCAGGATCTTGTCACACTGGAAGCCGGCCAAGGAGGTCGACAAGAAGAAGTCGACCAAGGACAGTGGTCGAGGAGGAGGAGGTCAACGTCGGGAGTGCTGGCTGTGCGGCGACCCTGACCACCTCTCCTTCGAGTGCCCCGACCGCAGTGACTCCGACGACGACGACGCCAAGGGAGGCCGCGGGAGGTCTGGCAGTCGTCGTCCTCGTCGAGGAGGAAACAAGCAGCGCAAGGAGAAGCAGTCGACGACGTCGAACTCGGCGAAGGACGCCGACTCCTTTGCAGGCGGCAAGGGGCGGGACGATCGTACCGTTTTAGGCACGGGTCGCCCACGCGAATGCCGTACTGGTTCGCGTAACGCACTCAGCCGTTAGTCGCACATGTTCCTCCTCGTCGGCCGCTCTTGCCCACGTCAGACCGCTTTCCTCGTCGCCCGCGCTTTCCCTAATTACCCTCCCCGACCCTCTGGTCGCATATGTTCCCGTAGTTGCCCACGCTCTCCCACGTTAACCACACATCCCCTCGTCGCAATTGCTAGTAGTAAACATACCGCGCTTCAGATCGTCACCCGCGCTCCCCTCATCACCCTCGTCGACCCACACCGATCCTCGCCGCCCTCACCTCCCTTGGTCACCGAACATTCCCTCTCGTCGCTCGCACTTCCCCTCATCACCCGTGCCGACCCTCGCCGCCCTCGCCTCCCCTCGTCGCCCGCACGTCCCGTCGTCGGGCTTGCCTCCCAGTCACTCGCGCTTCCCCTCGTCATCCGCGTTTCTTCCGCTCTTCCCCTCTCCCCATCTCACCATCTCCAGCCCATCCTTCCTCCCTCATTCCTTCCGAAGGGGTGGGACAGATGGGGAGGAACAGATGGGGAGAAACAGAGGTGGTCGCTTCCGCCACCACAATCGAACAGCGTTTTGATTCCCTCTCTGCTCCCCACCATCCTCCCCCCAGCTCTCTCCCCGGCATCTGCCCCCGTTACCCCCATCCTCTTCCCTGTTTCCCCGTATCCCCTGCCGTGCTTCCCCCCATCCTATCCCCTCTTACCCCGTATCCCCTGCCCTGCTTCCCCCCATCCCCTGCCCTGCCTTCCCCCATCCCCTTCCCTGCTTCCCCCCATCCCCTTCCCTACTTCCCCCCATCCCCTTCCCTGCTTCCCCTCATCCCCTTCCCTGCTTCCCCTCGTCCCCTCCCCTGCTTTCCCCCATCCCCTTCCCTGCTTCCCTCCATCCCCTTCCCTGCTTTCCCCCATCCCCTGCCCTGCTTCCCCCCATCCCCCTCCCTGCTTCCCCCCATCCCCTTCCCTGCTTCCCCCCTTCCCTTTCCCTGCTTCACCCCATCCCCTCCCCTGCTTCCCCCCATCCCGTCCCGTGCTTCCCCCCATCCCCTTCCCTGCTTCCCCCCATCCCCTTCCCTGCTTCACCCCATCCCCTTCCCTGCTTCCCCCCATCCCCTTCCCTGCTTCCCCCCATCCCCTTCCCTGCTTCACCCCATCCCCTTCCCTGCTTCCCCCCATCCCCTCCCCTGCTTCCCCCCATACCCCTCCCTGTTTCCCCCCATCCCCTTCCCTTCTTCCCCCCATCCCCTCCCCTGCTTCCTCCCATCCCCTTCCCTGCTTCACCCCATCCCCTTCCCTGCTTCCCCCCATCCCCTTCCCTGCTTCCCCTCGTCCCCTCCCCTGCTTTCCCCCATCCCCTTCCCTGCTTCCCTCCATCCCCTTCCCTGCTTCCCCCCATCCCCTGCCCTGCTTCCCCCCATCCCCCTCCCTGCTTCCCCCCATCCCCTTCCCTGCTTCCCCCCTTCCCTTTCCCTGCTTCACCCCATCCCCTCCCCTGCTTCCCCGCATCCCGTCCCGTGCTTCCCCCCATCCCCTTCCCTGCTTCCCCCCATCCCCTTCCCTGCTTCACCCCATCCCCTTCCCTGCTTCCCCCCATCCCCCTCCCTGTTTCCCCCCATCCCCTTCCCTTCTTCCCCCCATCCCCTCCCCTGCTTCCTCCCATCCCCTTCCCTGCTTCACCCCATCCCCTCCCCTGCTTCCCCCCATCCCGTCCCGTGCTTCCCCCCATCCCCTTCCCTGCTTCCCCCCATCCCCTTCCCTGCTTCACCCCATCCCCTTCCCTGCTTCCCCCCATCCCCTTCCCTGCTTCCCCCCATCCCCTTCCCTCCTTCCCCCCCTGCTGCCTCCCATCACTCTCATTCTCCTTCCTCCCGCACTCACACCTCTCAGTCCTCTTGCACTCTCTCTCTCCGTCCTCTCGCACTCGCACTCTCCTCACCACCACCCTCAGCCCTCCTTCCCCTCACACCCACCCATGTTCCCACCTGCCCTCCCCATCCCTGCCTTTCCCTCCCTGCCCTGCCCTTCCCTTCTCCATCCCTTCTCAAGCCTTCCCTTTCATGTCATGCCCTCACCTTCCCCCTCATCTTCCGCCCTCCAGTTACCATGCATGTGCACCCATCACTGTCTCCCCATACCGGTACATGCTTTCATCATGTGCGCTTGCTTGTGTTCCCCTGCAGTTGTTCCCTTGGCACCTCACACCACTTCCCCCATGTTCCATCACACAATTCTTTCTGCCTACTCCACTCTCCAAATTTTCAGTGGTCAAGCAGAGGAGCAAGGTGAGGCGCAGCTAGAGCTAGTCCATGCTTTACGCCGTACCACCACCTGTTTCTTGTGTGTTGTATGCAAGCATGATACTGTATTACTGTTGGAGATATCCATTTCAAAAGCGCAATATGTTCCTGCAGTGCAATATATTCTTCCAAGATGCATAGGGCAAGAGTGTCAGAAGGGTAGATAGAGGCATGATTCTACTTTTGATTGTACCCTCCTCAAGGACTTGAAAAAAAAATGAGGAATGGGATGATGGGCTTCGGCGAGTTTCAGTGCCATAAAATCTTCATTGGTGTCACTTCACTACCCAGGGAGAGGGAGGGAATACGAGGGATGGGGAGGGGGAACAAGACTAAAGTCAAACAGGGGAGATAGGGAAGAGGGGGGAGAGGAAAGCAGGGCTGAGAGGGAAAGACATAAGTACTGAAAATAAAAGGAGGATAGGGAAGAGGGGAGATAGGAAGAGGGGGAGAGGGAAAGTGTGAGATAGGAAGATGAAACAAGGTGAAGAAGAGGGGGAAACGAGGGGAAGCAGGGGGGGAAACGAGGGACAGCAAGGGGGGAAACGAGGGGAAGCAGGGGGGGAAACAAGGGAAAGCAAGGGGGGAAACGAGGGGAAGCAGGGGGGGAAACCAGGGAAAGCAAGGGAGGGAAATGAGGGGCCAGCAATGGGGAAAATGAGGGGAAGCGGGGGGGGTGGGGGGAGGGAAATGAGGGGAAGTTGGGGGGAAATGAGGTGAAGCAGGAGGGTACAAACAGAGATAGCAAGGAGGGAAATGAGGTGAAGCAGGGAGGGAAATGAGGTGAAGCAGTGAGGGAAATGCGGTGAAGCAGTGAGGGAAATGAGGTGAAGCAGTAAGGGAAATGAGGTGAAGCAGTGAGGGAAATGAGGTGAAGCAGTGAGGGAAATAAGGTGAAGCAGTGAGGGAAATGAGGTGAAGCAGTGAGGGAAATGAGGTGAAGCAGTGAGGGAATGAGGTGAAGCAGGGAGGGAAATGAGGTGAAGCATGGGAAAGCAGGGAGGGAAATGAGGTGAAGCAGGGAGGGAAATGAGGTGAAGCAGTGAGGGAAATGAGGTGAAGCAGGGAGGGAAATGAGGTGAAGCAGTGAGGGAAATGAGGTGAATCAGTGAGGGAAATGATGTGAAGCAGTGAGGGAGGTGAGGTGAAGCAGTGAGGGAAATGAGGTGAAGCAGGGAGGGAAATGAGGTGAAGCAGTGAGGGAAATGAGGTGAAGCAGGGAGGGAAATGAGGTGAAGCAGGGAGGGAAATGAGGTGAAGCAGTGAGGGAAATGAGGTGAAGCAGGGAGGGAAATGAGGTGAAGGAGTGAGGGAAATGAGGTGAAGCAGGGAGGGAAATGAGGTGAAGCAGTGAGGGAAATGAGGTGAAGCAGGGAGGGAAATACGGTGAAGAAGGGATGAGGGGGAGAAAGGGTGGGCCATGGGCGTAGAGCATAGGGCGCAGAGCATGGGGCGCAGAGCATAGGGCGCAGAGCATGGGGAACAGAGCATAGGGCGCAGAGCATGGGGCGCAGAACATAGGGTGCATAGCATGGGGCGCAGAGCATAGGGCGCAGAGCATGGGGCGCAGAGCATAGGGCGCAGAGCATTGGGCGCAGAGCATGGGGCGCAGAGCATGGGGCGCAGAGCATAGGGCGCAGAGCATTGGGCGCAGAGCATAGGGCGCAGAGCATGGGGCGCAGTGCATAGGGCGCCGAGCACAGGGCGCAGTGCATAGGGGCGCAGAGAATAGGGCGCAGAGCGCAGGGCTCATAGAGCAGAGCGCAGGGGGCAGAACGCAGGGGGCGGAGGGGGCAGAGCGCAGAGTGCAGGGGCGCGGAGCACGTGTACCTGTCCTGGCGTGGTGGTGCCTCGTTCTAGCGCCCTCTCCACACTGCTATTCGAATAGAATAGTGCGCGCGCTGGACGTTTGTGAGTTGACGCGCTGCTAGACGACCAGTGGCGTGAGCTGCGCGTAAACCGGTGAGGGGGATGTTCGTCTCTGTATTTCGCGCGCTGCTACCCGCCCGTGGGCGCCCGGTGGCTGACAGAGTAGAATTGCGTAACCCTAAGGGTATGCGTATTGTGGACGCCCCCAGCGTGGCATTGCCCTAAGTAATAGGCGCTTTCGAGCCCAATATACGTTCGCAATGCCCCGAAACCGTTGACTTACGTGCTGCCAGAGGCAATCGATGTGCCAGAGGCAATCGATGTGCCAGAGGCCATATCGCGCTGTGTCGCGCTCTTCTCAACGCTCCTTCCTGCGACTCAGCATGTACGTTTTCTGGCATGTCACCTTCGTTTGCACGTTTCCTTGTTGTTAGCTCCTGCGGTTATTTCACACGAAGTAGTTAGCTTGATTGATAGTGGTGTTCTTTCTCCTGACTCGTGTTGGTGCTTCCCGTTTTCGTTTTTGCTAGTAGTCGCATTGTGCGTGGACCTTCTCCGCTACTTGAACCTGATTGGCTGAAGAACAATCCTTGCGACACTCCTTCCAGTCGCTCCACAGTGCTTGCAAATCCGTCAAAGCTGCACAGTGTCGTTCACCATCACTTCACGTTGTTGGGCTGAAAAAGCCCTCAGGATCTTTGCAGGGGTGAACTCTGGGTAGAGTTGGTGTAGTAGCGGAAGCGTTAATAAGGAGTTGTGAACCACCTTGTGTCAAACATTATATATGTTGTGCTTGTTTAAGCTACAGTGGGTTAGCCTATAGGGGGTACACAATTCTAGGGTTAGGTACTTGTACTGATTTCACTGTTAGTTCAATCATTCCTGTTCATTCATTTCAACATGGTATAGAGCAGGTCCTTCCTAGGACCGATTTTTTAGGGCCCACCACTACCTACCTACCTACCTACCTACCTACCTGCGCCCTAGGGCGCCTCGGTTTTCACGGCCCTCTGAGGCCCCGCGACCCGCGACCCGCCCCTTAGCGACTCGCGCGCCGCCCCTTAAGGCCCCGTCGGCCCACGCGCTCGCCCTTAGCGGCCCCTTACGGCCCCGCGCTCGCCCCTAGAGGCCCCAATCGGCCCCGCGCTCGCCCTTAGCGGCCCCTTACGGCCCCGCGCTCGCCCCTAGAGGCCCCGAACGGCCCCGCGCTCGCTCTTAGCGGCCCCTTACGGCCCCGCGCTCGCCCCTAGAGGCCCCGAACGGCCCCGCGCTCGCCCTTAGCGGCCCCTTACGGCCCCGCGCTCGCCCCTAGAGGCCCCGATCGGCCCCGCGCTCGCCCTTAGCGGCCCCTTACGGCCCCGCGCTCGCCCCTAGAGGCCCCGAACGGCCCCCCCCCCAGAACGAGCCGCCCGACCCGAGCAGCCCGAACCGAGCCACCCTGCCCGAACCGAACCGCCCGAACCGAGCCGCCCAGCCCGAACCGAGCCGCCCGAACCGAGCCGCCCGAACCGAGCCGCCCAGCCCAAACCGAGCCGCGCCGCCCGAACCTAGCCGCGCCGCCCTTCCCGAGCCGCGCCGCCCTACCTGAACCGAGCCGCGCCGCCCGTACTGGACCGAGCCGCCCTACCTGAGTCGCACTGCCTACTGTTTTTGGGGTGCCCCTACTGCTATTACTCCTACTACTGCTATGGCTAGCCCTCCTGTACTGGCTTTCGATGCTGAGGGCCGCCCAGTGAAGTTCGAAACCTGGCTAGATGATCTACACCTCGTCCTACAGCTCATTGCCAAGGAGGACATCTCACTGTACGATCACGCCCTAGGCCATGCTCCTGCTCCTGCTGCTACTGCTGACAGCACTGCCCGCTCACAGTGGCAGACTCGTGACGCCCACGCTCGCTTCGCTATTCGCAACTCCCTGCCGATAGATGAGTGCGAGCACTTTGGGCAGCACAAGACTGCACAGGCACTGTACACTGCTGTCGTTGCCCGCTACTCCTCACCGGCCTCTGCTGCACTAGGCCGTCTCTCTCTTCCCTACCTGTTCCCCGACTTAGCCTCTTTCCACACAGTCGCTGACCTCATTACGCACCTCCGCACTAGTGAGGCTCGCTTCCGCGCCGCTATGCCTGATGAGTTCCTTGTCAAGAACCCACCCCCACTCTATCTCACTCTCTACCACCTAGTCACCCGCCTCCCTGACACTCTGCGCTCAGTCAGGGACCACTTCCTAGCTCGCTGCCCCACTGAGCTCACCATTGCCCTCCTCGAGAAGGAACTCCTTGCAGCTGAGGCTAGCATAGTCGCTGTAGGTGCCTCTCGTGGCGACCCCCGTACCCCGTTCTTTGAGGGGTGTTCTCCTTCCCCCCTTCTTCCCTCTGTCGCCTCTGCTGCTGCTGTCGACCTCCTTGGTGCTGAGAATGTCAGGACTGCGTCTGCTTCGAGCGGGCGCCGCAGCGGCAAGGGCAAAGGGGGCAAGGGCGGTGGCGGTGATAGCGGGGGAGGCGGTGGTGGGGGCGGTGGTGGCGGTGGGGGTGGTGGCGCGACTGGAGGGGCTAGTGGCAGCGGTGGGGGTGGTGGCGGCAGCGGCGAGGGAGGTGGCAGGGGCGGAGGCGGTGGTGGGGGTGGCGGTGGACGCGGCGGCGGCAGGGGTTGGGGTGGTCGAGGAGGTGGCGGCGGTGGTGGTGGTCGTGGAGGCGCTGGCGGTGGCCAGAACCAGCAGCACACTCCGTCGCCCCAGGAGGTCCGTGAGTGGTACTCACAGCACGGGGGAGGGGGGTGGCTTTAGCTGCACGTACGTCATTCGCACTGGTGACCGCACTGGTCAGCCGTGTGGGGGACCGCACGCCACACAGCGCTGCTTCGCTCGTCTCAACGACGCTTGGCGTGTTCAGTTCCCTCAGGCCACTGAGCTGCCCCGCTGGGTTGATCTCCTGAAGAAGGGGATTGATATCTATGCTCTAGACTTTGATGCTATTCTCACTGCTATGTATGTGATGTCTACTAGTGGAGAGGGTGCTGAGTACCTGTGTGTGCCGCCCGACCCGGGCATTAGGACTAGTGCGTCTGCCGCTCCAGGTACTCGCGTGTCTGCTACCCCAGGTGCTGGTGAGGCAGCTGCTCTAGGTGCTTGTGCGTCTGCCCACCCTGGTACTGAGTCGACTGCAGCACTGCACACCTTCACACTGGACTCAGGTGCTTCTCGCTGCTTCTTTCGTGACCGCACTGCCCTTGAGCCGCTTGCTCGGCCAGTTGCTGTCTCCCTCGCTGACCCCTCTGGGGGTCCGGTCATTGCGACCTCCTCCACTGTCCTCCCCTGTCCTGCGGTCCCGTCGGGCACACTGTCAGGTCTCCACCTCCCCTCGTTCTCCACGAACTTGGTGGCAGGTAGTGCACTCCAGGACGGGGGTGTTCACCAGTTCACCCCTACCTACGAGCGCGTGACACACTGCACGTGTGCTCGTACGGGCCGCCACTTGGCTACCTTCACTCGGCAGCCCGGGTCGGACCTGTACACACTGAGCACTGAGTCCCCTCAGGTCGCTGCTGTCTGCGTCTGCGTCCGTGTCAGGTCAGCTGTCTGCCCCCTACTCTTGTCGCTCTCTGGCGCACGAGACTGTCCTTTGGCACCACCGACTTGGCCACCCGTCTGTGCAGCGCCTTCGTGCCATGCACTCCCGGTACCTTGTCTCCGGTCTTCCCAGAGTCCTCCCTCCCCTCCCACCCTCGCCTGCTCCTCCATGTCTTCCCTGCGTCGAGGGGCGGCAGCGCGCCGCTCCTCACTCCTCCTCGTTTCCCCCGACGACTACTCCCTTGCAGACGCTCCACATGGACGTGTGGGGCCCAGCCCGCGTCCGTGGTCAGGGTCAGGAGAGGTACTTCCTGATAGTTGTTGACGACTACTCGCGCTACACCACGGTCTTCCCCTTGCGCACCAAGGGTGAGGTCCCTGATGTCTTGATCCCTTGGATCCGCAGAGCCCAGTCTCCAGCTCAGCGAGCGTTTCCACTCGGACTTTCCTGTCCTGCGCTTGCACTCTGACAAAGGTGGTGAGTTCTCCTCCGACCTCTTGGCAGCCTACTGTGCTGAGCACGGCATTGAGTAGTCGTTCACACTTCCGGCCTCACCACAGCAGAATGGGGTTGCGGAGCGCCGCATTGGCCTGGTCATGGAGGTCGCCCGTACCTCCTTGATCCATGCGGCTGCCCCCCACTTTCTGTGGCCGTTTGCGGTCCGGTACGCTGCGCATCAGTTCAACCTCTGGCCCCGTGTCTCCTTTCCAGAGACCTCGCCCACACTGCTGTGGACGGGGGAGGTTGGCGATGCGTCGCGTTTCCGGGTCTGGGGATCTCGAGCTTTTGTCCGCGATACGTCTGCGGACAAGCTCTCCTCCCAGTGCTAGTTCCCTGCGTCTTCCTCGGCTTTGTCCCGGACGCGCCTGGTTGGCAGTTTTACCACGCCACCTCACGCCAAGTCTTGCCCTCTCAGGACGTCACTTTTGACGAGTCCGTCCCCTACTACCGCCTCTTCCCCTACCGCAGTGCCCCGCTCCCCCCCCCGCCTCTCTTCCTCGCGCCAGGTGCTGCTGTCGTAGACCCCCTCCCCCCTCAGGGTGCCGCTCCCTCAGGTGTGTCTCAGGTAGACCCGGTTGAGCCTGTTGAGGTAGCTGTCGACTCTCGTCCTGCTGTGGGTGCGGAGCCTGGGGGTGCTGAGCCTGGGGGTGCGGAGCCTGGGGGTGCTGAGCCTGGGGGTGCGGAGCCTGGGGGTGCGGAGCCTAGGGGGTGCTGAGCCTTGGGGTGTGGAGCCTGGGGGTGCTGAGCCTGGGAGTATTGAGCCTGGGGGTGCTGAGCCGCAGAGTCCGGAGTCTGGGGGTTCTGAGTCTGGAGGTCCTGAGTCTGAGGGTCCTACACCTGGCGGAGCCCTCTCCTCGGAGCAGCTGCGTGAGTGGTACTTCCAGTACTGCAGCCTCAGGAGAGGTACCTCTGGAGCCAGGCTTACTACTGGGACTGGTGCTAGTGCTTCTCCTCCTAGCCGGGAGCTCCCCTCCCGTGAGCGGGTCCGTGAGTGGTACGAGCGGCGCTGCACTCTTCGGAGTGGCGCGCCTGGTGTCGCGGATCTCGCTGCTGCTGGTGGTGCTACTGGTGCTGGAGACACTACTGGTTCTGCTGGTGCTGCGGCCCTAGAGGTTGGAGCTGTTTCTGGTGCTGTGGACCCGCGCGTTGGAGCTACGGCTGGTGCTGCAGACCCGGGCGCTGGTGCTGCTGCTGGTGCTGAGGACCCGGGCATTGGAGCTGCTGCTGGTACTGAGGACCCGGGCGTTGGAGCTGCTGCTGGTGCTGAGGACCCTCGAGCTGGTGCTGCTGGTGGTGCTGTGGAGTCGGGCGTTGGAGCTGCTGCTGGTGCGGAGGACCCTGGCGCTGGTGTCTCTGCTGGTTCTGGAGTCGCTGCACCGCAGCGGGCGTACTTCGTTCCGCTCCTTCAGCAGGTTCTTGGTCTCCCGCCTTCTCTCGGTCCTCCTCCTCCCTTAGAGTGTCCACAGCCTGTCCAGTCACGGTTACAGTTACAGCCCGCCTCCCCACTGCCTGCTCCTTCTCCCTACACTGGTCCTACTGGAGGTCTTGCTGAGCGTCGTGAGCCTACGTCTCGCCCTGCGTCACCTGTCCGTACTTCGCGCACTAGTGGTTGCGGTTCGCGTCAGCGTCCTCCTCCTGTCCCTGGCACGCACCGGATGTCTCTGCGTCCGTCCACTGCTCCTCTGCGTGCCCCTTTGCCTTCTCCTCCTGAGTCCTCTATTCCTGCTCTTCCCGACCCGGAGTTGGACTCTCTTCGTGCTACCAGTCCTACTGTCACGCGTCTCCTTCCTACTGTCGTCACTGACCCTTCTTTTGAGTCCACTGCTGCGTCTGCCCTAGTTGCTGAGCTCGTCGACTTTGCTGCTCGCTGTCGTCTAGACTACGCTGCTAGTCTTGTCGCTGAGTCTGAGTCATGTCTGTCCTCCGTCCGTCGGGGGTGAGTGTGCCCTTGGCACGGACGTCCTTGAGGACAGGCAGGAGGAGTTCCAGTGCTTGGCCGCTGCTTCACCTCATCTCGTGTCCGTACTGCTTACCCCTGAGGGAGACCCGGATGCACTTGACATCCCGACTCCGCGCTCTTACGCGGAGGCGATAGAGGGTCCCTACTCTTCTCAGTGGCAGGTAGCTATGGATGCAGAGATGGCTTCCTGGAAGTCCACAGGCACCTACTGTTGACGCTGTCCCCCCTCCTGGGGCGAAGCATCGTCAGTGGCATGTGGATTTTCAGGGTGGAGCGGCCGCCGGGTTCTCCGCCTGTCTTCAAGGCGCGTTACGTGGCTCGTGGCTTCAGTCAGCGGCAGGGAGTTGACTACTTTCAGACCTTCTCTCCCACCCCGAAGATGACCACTCTTCGGGTACTGCTGCACATAGCTGCTCACCGTGACTACGAGCTACACTCTCTTGACTTCAGCACTGTTTTCTTGCAGGGCAGCCTGCACGAGGAGATCTGGCTGCGTCGCCCACCTGGCTTCACTGGGTCTTTTCCTCCTGGCACCCAGTGGAGTCTCCGGCGGCCAGTCTACGGTCTCCGCCAGGCACCGCGTGAGTGGCACGACACACTGAGGACTACGCTGGCGGCTCTTGGGTTTGCTCCCTCTACTGCCGACCCGTCGCTGTTTCTACGCACCGACACTTCTCTGCCGCCGTTCTACATCCTCGTGTACGTCGACGAACTTGGTCTTTGCCACATCTGACACTGCATGGACTCGCCTACGTGAATGTCCGAGCTGCAGAAGAGACACACGTGCACAGACCTGGGTGAACTGCGCAGCTATCTTGGCTTGCAGATCACCCGGGACAGAGCACGCCGCACCATTACCCTGACTCAGTCACACATGGTGCAGCAGGTCCTTCAGCGCTTTGGCTTCACGTACTCCTCGCCTCAGGCCACTCCTCTGCCTACTCGCCACTTGCTCTCAGCTCTGCCTTCGGATGAGTCCATAGAGTCGAGTCGCCCGTACCCAGAGCTTGTTGGCTGCCTCATGTACCTGAATGACCTACACACGACCTGACCTTGCATACCCTCTTAGCATTCTCGCACGCTATGTTGCTCCTGGGAGACACCGACCAGAGCACATGGCTGCAGCGAAGAGGGTGTTGCGCTACTTGTGCAGTACGTTGGGCATGGGGCTAGTGCTTGGAGGGCGGAGTCCAGTGGTCCTCACTGGTCACGCATACGCTTCTTGGGCTGACGATCAGGCTACGCAGCGGTCGTCATAGGGTTACACCTTCAGCCTTGGTTCCGGCTCTGTTTCGTGGCGGGCTACTCGCTCGTCTTCTGTTCTCGGCTCCAATTGTGAGGCTGAGATCTACGCAGGGGCCATGGCTTCTCAGGAGCTTCGCTGGCTCACCTACCTACTGACCGGCCTTGGAGAGCCGCCTCGTTCTCCTCCAGTCCTTGTACGTAGACAACAAGGCCATGCTGGCCTTGTGTCGAGAGCAGAGACTGGAGCACAGAACAAAGCACATTGCTCTTCGCTACTTCCTTGCTCGTGAGCTACAGCAGCGTGGTCAGTTGCGGCTTGCGTACGTGGCCTCTGAGGCCAATACTGCTGATGTCTTCACCAAGGCACTTGCGCCTTGTGATCATCAGCGCTTCTGCACCCAGCTGGGTCTTGTACCTGTCTTGCCTCACTTGCTCACCTCTTGACCTTGCTTGTACTGTTACATATATATATACCTGCTCTTGCTTGTCTAGCCATATATATATATGTACTCATGCATGTGAACTGGCCTTGTTGCCTTGAACTTGTGCTCAGAATGTGTGGTTACTTTGTGATCCACCCTGAGCTTGCTTTGCTTTGCTTTACTTGACTGGTCTTGTGACCCCTAGTTCTCCCCCACTTCGCCTATGGGGGTGTGTCAAACATTATATATGTTGTGCTTGTTTAGGCTACAGTGGGTTAGCCTATAGGGGGTACACAATTCTAGGGTTAGGTACTTGTACTGATTTCACTGTTAGTTCAATCATTCCTGTTCATTCATTTCAACACCTTGCGCTAGTATGTGAGGGCAAAGTAAGTTGATTAGGACAAAGAGATACAAGATTATATA